GCATTTGACTGCAAGCCACGCTAGAAGTAAATAGCTTTAAGTGTGTTTTGTAAAACATATTAGATCTGATAAAATAAACTTTTTTATAAAAAATACTTATATTGTTACATAAACTCCCCATCCTTTTATAACCCCCACTCCCTCCTCCTCCTCCGTTTATTAGATCTGGACTAAAATTTCTACCCTACTCCTTTTTTATTCCCATTCTCCCTTGTATTAAGGACTCAAGAGTATTACTTTTTTATGCCTGCATTTACAAATTAATTCAGCTTTTTTGTTTATAAAATGTTTTTGATCTTTATGGCTAATACTTTCAAAATTTTCTTGGAAACATTGCACACATTTTTTAGAAATATTATTATATTTCTAAAAAGGAAATATTATTATATTTTTTATGTTTAAAAGATTGTTTGTGATTGGCGTAATATTTTTCCGTTTGCCTTTGATTATGTCAATATCTAGGTACGTGCGTATCTGGCTTTTTACGGCACCCATATTAACGTTAAAAACTGGAACCTTTTTTTTCACAGCGTGCTCGAAGTCGGTGTGGTAAGAATGTATTTATTTGTCTTTTTTTAAAAATTTTATATCAACTCAGACTTTATTAAAAAAGTCGAATGTTTAATGTTGAATAAATTATGTGTTTTTTTTTATGGTCAATAAATTTTTCAGTTATTTTATTGCTATTTAAAATTTCGTTCTTTTTCTGGAAGTTCATTCATATGGAAGGCATGTTGGTACATTTTTGAAATTTTCTAGTCAACTGTATAAATCAATTTTCTATGTGCCTGCAAAATATAATTTAAAAATATTCATGACCACATAACGTAGTTTTCGATCCAGTGGAGGTTCCATTTCCACTCTTTTTACTGTTATTGTTACTGTTACACTTTATTAAACTGTTTCTGCTACTGTTACTGTTACTTCTTGTTATAAATTCTGTTGTTTTTTTACAATTACCAGTGATTTTTATTCATTTTTAAAATTTTATTTCTGTTCCGGAGGTGCATTAATATTGAAGGTATGTTGGTACACTTTTTAAATTTTCCAGGCAACTGTATAAATCTATTTTCTACTAAAAGTTAGTTAACTTGTAGTTTTACACTACCAGCTCATTTAAATATTGGTTGTAGTAATGAACGCCTACTGCATATATTGGCAACTAACAAGGATTCATATAAAGTAACTGTAGAAGTAATCAATAAGTATTTTAACATCAAAGTTTGTACTAATTAGATTCTGCGACTAGTTAAAGCATCAAAAAACTTTGTAAACCATTTTTCACGAGATTCAAAACAATTTATTGATATCTGCAACATGCTCTGTGCATACCAAATAATAACATCTGCTATGGCACAAATATCGCAATCAATTGCAACCTCAATTCACATTGCTATATGCTCTTCTTTTCCCTTTCAACAAATCAGTGTTTTATCTGTATCAAACAGTGGTCAGTTATCTCTTTTATCTGGTCCTGCTATAGAAACCTCTTCTCATGAACCACTATCCAGTTAGAGAGCTGACTAGTTAAGTCCCAGAAAAAGGTTATGAGAAAGAGATTTAATTTTTTTGTTTGAAACAGCAGTTAACATTAATCGAAACCAAGTTTTCTTATCAAAAGGCAATTTTATACCAACAACTTGCTGACAAAAATTATGCAATTCTTGTACTGCAAAATGACATTAATACTGATTTTACAGGAAGAGTTGGAGGAAATTCAGCAAGTAACAAAAAACACCAAAATTAAAAAACACTACTCAGCAGATATTAGAACACTTACATACGACATGGTTGTGTGTTAAGTACCTGGTTTCATTCACTACACAATTCATTTTCTAAACAATTCTGCAATACAAACTTCGCTACAAGGATGCAAAAAGTATTTATAATTCTTTTACTTAAATATAGTGTAGGTTTGTGAATAAAATTGTTTTTAATTGAGTTAAACTAAAATAAATATTATAATTATTGCATGTTTTTATTTCACATTCTCCTTGCAATAGCCAACTTACTTTCTTTATGTTATTGATAAGTCATCCAAAGGGTTTTGGGTTCTTTTTGGACCAACACAAGTTGCCCAGAAGATTGCTACCACGCTATAGAGGGAACAGAATACATATGCTTTTTCACACATGTGGTAGTTTGATCTATAATTATTCCATATTGAAGATATTTTTGTGTTCTGACTTGACATTATGTGAATGTCTGCAAAATGGTTTGTTTCAAGACTTTACATCTGAAACAGGTATCTTTTTCTTTTTTGTACTGTATTGAAGCCTCAACTTTTAATGTTTTTTCTGTTTTGTAATAGTAAAATGTGTTGTGTATCAAGAGTTAGGTGATTTTGTTTTTTATTTTTGTATAGGAAATCATTCTCCTCTTCTCTTTTTTGTAATGGGTTTTTCAGTTATTGTGTTAATATCTAATGTATTTTTATTTATCTGTTTGTATTGCAAGGTTTTAACTAATAGCATGCTAAAAGATTGCAATTTGCTACTGTCTTAAAGTCCTCAAGATTATATTTAATAATTCAGTAAGATGTTATTATAGTTAGATATTAATTTATTTTGCAGTAATTAACAGTTAAATGTTTATTTATTATACAGTAATTGCTTGTAAGTCTTGATATTTTTAATTTTTTTTTTAATTTTATATATCTTATATATATTTTATCTTGTCTATAATGGCAAGGTTATGCAACGTGATGATTACTACACGCTTGCTTTGATGTTTGTTGATCTTCTTCATTTCAATATTAAATCGGTTACATCATATTTATTTAGAGACTGATTATGTTTGTTAATGTGTTTTTCATTTATTGTGCTAAATATCTAATGTATTTTTATTTTTCTGTGATAACAGTTATATTTTTATTTATTATCCGGGACACAGGGTATCCTAATTAAATAGGTATGGCTGTATTAATTGAGAGGTTTATTTTATTTTAGATATTATATGTGGTTTCCATCGCGTACTAAAGATTCGACTCTTTCTATGGATGTCACAGTTTTATTTACTTCAAAAACTAGGCTTTTTTCAAAGCCACAATTCTGTTAAAAGCATTACTAAGCAAATAAAATAACTATTATAGTGTAAATTTATTGTTAAAGAAGTATGTTTAAAAAAAAATATTTGTATTTTTTGCAGTTTGTTGGAATTTATATATTGTTAGATAGATAGATATGTATATGGGCCCACGGAAGGAAACAAAAAGGGGAGCCGTGGTGGGCATGACCTTCCTCCCCCCCTAATTGTTTAGTAGTATCCATTTTTAAGAAGGTTTTTAGTTGAAAAATATTTCAACTATTATTATGTATATTATGATTTTTTTTTTTTTTTTTTTGTGCTTTGGCCCCTACTAAAATCTCACGCTTTTGCCTATGATATATATTTATATATATCTTTATATAATGACATAATAAATTTCCATTAACTTTTATTAAATCTAAACTTTTGTCCGAAGTAATTGAAATTCATTAGTAACGATAAAAATAAGGCTAAATAAAGGGCGGAAAGGCTATGAATGTCTTTAAAGTTCAACTATACGCTATAGAAAACTTAGACTTGATACATATTTAATAACAAATATATATATATATATATATTTTACAAATATATATATATATATATATATATATATATATATATATATATATATATATATATATATATATATATATATATATATATATATATATATATTTATATAAATATATATATATATAATATTGTAAATACGCTATATTTTTTTTTTTTTATACAACTTTATACAGTACTTTTTATAAATTTTGTTATTAGGTTTTAACGATTAAAAATATTTTGTTATTTTCGAAATTTTTTTAATAACGTTATTAAATCGTTTTGCACATTTCACAAAAGCAAAACTATGCGCAAATTAACAATGAAGTTTAATTACTAAGCTACCGTTAGTCGAACGCGAGTTTTATTCGAATGTTGCATTTTTCTTAAGGGTTGTGTTTAGATCATATCCCATTCGGAACGATTATTTTCGTTAGCGTATTTTTATAGCAAGGTAGATAAAAGATTAAAAAGCAAGTTAGATAAAAACAATAGTAAATATTTCGTAGGGGGTAGTGACAATCCGCGTTACTTAGTTGGATATTTGGATATTATTAATTTCAACACCAAATATTTATTGTTAAGATTACAAAAAACATGAATAATACCCTTTATACTAAAATGAACCCATAACCAGTTAAAATAAAAAATATATAAAGTTTTAAACTTCTCCAGTAAAAAAAACGTACTGTAGATACGCCGTATTATCCAATGCTAGTAACGCGGTTTTATACTATCCTCAACGATTTAGTTTTCTAAAAGACATTGAAGCCTTATTACATTTATTTTACACTTAAATAACGGTGCTATTTAATAAAAATATTGAATAACAATAAACAAAACTAACAAAGTGCAATGTTTAAAAATGATTTAAGAACTAAAAATGCACTTAAAACAACGGAGTCTAATTTTAAATTAACTTTTTTAGGGTAAAACCACCAAATCTAGGCCACTTAATTCTAAACTGCGTCATATGTTACCGCGATTGGCTAAGACTCTTAAAATATTTCTATACTTTTAAAAAACCTCTCAAGATCATCAAAAATTTCCAAACTTGTCATTTTATGAATAGTTTGGAAATTTTTGTTAATAAACTAAAAAGTTTTAGCACATATGTTACAAGGCTTAGAAAATACCAAATCATAACCATTGCGAACTTATTCCTGGCCATTACGTTTTACGATGTAAAAGTAGTGATAATATTTTAAATTTTAAATTAACAACAAAACAAATTTATTGGAAAGAGTTTAAAAAAAGAAGTTCTGCGTAAATTTTTACTTGTGTAAATTTAATTCTTTTTTTTTAACAAGTAAACTAACAATAGATTTAAAAGCGCTTCGCAACATTTGAAGTTTTCAAATTAGCAAATGTTTTAAAATAAATAAAAAACCACTCTCCGTTTCCAACTTCACCGATAACGTTTAAATGCTTCGAGCGAGTTCAAACCCGCAACCTTTGGTTGATTTAACCACTGCACCACGGCTACTAATCTAATAATAATCATTTCATTTATATCATATCTACACTCTAAACCCGAATGGTTCTTCGAAGAACCTTTAAGGGTTCTTCGCGTTGACGCTGGTGGAACACTCGTAGAGGTTCTTCAAAGAACCTTTGAAGAACCCTTTGCAAAGGTTCTTCGGAAGAACCTTAAAATAAAGTTCTTTAAAGAACACGTTATAGTTCTTCATAGAACCGTTCAATGTTTTTGCATAATTGCATTGTTGCAAGGATACTTTTTTGACTTCTTGAACATTTTTTATATTATATATTATACAATATATAATTATTTAATAGATTTTTAATAGTTAATTATAATAATTTAAGATATTTAAGCTAGTTGCTTAAGGCCAAAAATAAAATTGTAAACAACGACTTTCCTAAATATTTAACATATATTTCAACATATGGCAATAAAGAAAAAAACTATTTTCAAACAATTTATATAAATACTTTCAAACAAATAACAAAAATAAATTTTATTTTACAATCCAATATGTTTATGTTTATAAAAATATGTCATCAATTATAAAAAAAGTTTTCTAGTGTTAAATCCATTGTCCAATATATAAATATTTTTCCTTGAAATTAGATGTACGAATAAACGTGAGATTTCTGAAGTCGCAGTCGTTTGAAGAATTATCTAAAATTCAATATTGAAACACAGTTTGAAAATTTTAAACCCTAATACCAAAAACAACTCCTATGAAAACCCTTTTGAGGGGTGTTAGTACATATCATAGGGATCTCATAACAAGTAATTTTGAAATCCGGGTTTACCGTCCGCAAGACTTATTCAACATTGAAGTTTTTGCTTTTAAATTACGAAACCTGAAAAACTGCAAAATCCCTCCAAAAATATATAACTGCCCTAAATTACCATATTATGAAGTAATAAGGTAACAAATGATAACAATACATCTTAAAACATTTATTTATTACAAAATAAATACATTCTAAAAATAAACTAATAAATTCTCAAAAATGCAACATGTTCATTGATGGTCAGTGCCTCATAGCAAGCTACTCTACATTTTCTTGCTGTTATAATCAATGACACACTTCAGGAGTTGACTGGAGTAGTCTGGATGGATGTTCAATCTTTTGTATCGTTTCCAATGCTTGCCAAAATCCGAATGCAGAGCTTCAGTGGCTTAATTACTGTATAGACCAAGGCTTTTCTTTTTCAGCTTGATGAACTGTGTCACATGGTGGAAAACAGTGTGAACCTTTGGAGTAACAGAGATTCCCAAACTCATGTAACTGTTTTTGGAGATGGTGATTTTTTCCTCATAGTTGGGATGTAAAGTTTTTCCAAAGCATGCAGGGTGAACTTCGTGAAAGTCTTTGAATGTCTGAATGAATTAAGATGGCTCAGAAGTGCTCTCATTTTCAGCCATTTCAGCCAATTTATCAATTTTCCTCAGACGCTTCGTGCAGTCATTGCAGTGAAGTGCCCTCCATGAAAAGGCTGAATGAAGCCTTTGAAAAGCCATGAAAAGGCTGAATGAAGCCTGGAAGCCTCCATGATGGCTTCATGCAGTCATGCAGTGAAAAGCTCTCCATGAAAAGGCTGAATCTTGATGTGCAATGTAGTTTGTGGCCATTTTGTGGCCTTTGGCCATTTTTGCAATAAGCATTTGAACAGATGGTTGACCACCCCTAGCAGAAGATGAAGCTCCATAGGTGGGATGAACTCCAAAATCAGTGCTTGATCAGGACCAAAGAGTAGTAAGAGATTGCCGGTTCTGGGAACATTTTTATTTTCAACCCTATTTTCAACCATAAATTAATATTAATATAGGGTTAACATTGAACCCTATTGTATATAAATTATTTAGATAAGAAATAACTTTTCAAATTTATATAAATTTGAAAAAATTGAATTTTTTTAAAATAAGTGTTAATTTTTATTTCTTGTTACAAAATGTTACGAAAATTTCTTGCATGACGTCACAGGTCACGTGACTTTACCTTGCTGTTTCTAAAAGCGTTATAAAATGAATCCATACTTTAATTCATGTAAATATTTTACTACTTCAAGGTGACCATTCATAATTAAATATTTTACTACTTCAAGGTGACCATTCATTGCAGCAAAATCAATTGCAACATGAAAGCAATCATACCCTAATTCATATAAATATTTTACTACTTCAAGGTGTCCATTTTCTGCAGCATAATTAATTGCCCATTCAGTACCTTTATACCCTAATTCATGTAAATATTTTATTACTTCAAGGTGACCATTCATTGCAGCGCAATTAATCGCACATTTGTCACATTTATACCCTAATTCATGTAAATATTTTATTACTTCAAGGTGACCCTTCATTGCAGCGTATTCAATTGCTTTTTCTGTTCCTTTATATCCTATAGAATGTAAATATTTTACTACTTCAAGGTCATCATTTCCTGCAGCATAATTAATTGCCCATTCAGAACCTTTATACCCTAATTCATGTAAATATTTTAATATTTCAAGGTGACCATTTCCTGCAGCATAATTAATTGCCCATTCTGTTCCTTTATATCCTTTAGAATGTAAATATTTTATTACTTCAAGGCGACCATTTTGAGCAGCATAATCAAGTTTTGTACGTTTATTTTCTTGATTCATTCTTTTTATATACACAAGAAAATTATTTAACTCATTTTAAAATTTTTTTTTATTTTAATGCGCATGCGCTGGATTTGCTAACACATAGTAGAATTGTCTTAACAATATTATATAGGGTCTCTTATAGCATATAATTCTAGTTCTGTTGCTACAAATGGAAGAGTACTATTTTGTATATAATTATCAAATATAGGCATAGCAGGTTGTCCATTATATACATAGCTCATATTTTGACATACAGGTGCCCAATAACCACCACTTGTATCTAGTGTAAGTACTGCTCCAGAATTCATCAAGCTTTTTGTAGTTGTCAAATTTAAACCGCAAAATCCTTGTCCTAATTCTGTACATCCAAATGGTGTATCTGTTGATATGAGTTGTGCAACATTTTGGTAATAGACATCATTGGAAGGAATGCTTGTTTAAATATAATACTATTCCATACACCATTAATTTTATATTTAAGTCTATATTTATAATAGCCATCTTTGTTTTTATACTGCCAATTAGTAAATAATGTACTATATACTTGAGCAGTAGATGGAGTAGAATTAAATACTCTATAGGCGCTATAATAATTGTTAAGAAATAAATATCCAGCAACTTGTCTAACTAATAATACTTCTCCAGAATTATATGGTGTTCCATAACCACCACCATATATATTATTCATTGCAATTGGTATTGCTTCAAAAAATTTGTTTGCTAAAAATATTTGTTGTCTTGAATCATAATGTACTCCATCGAAATTTGCACTCCTAAGACTGGGAGGCATACCATCTAGAGATATACTAGCTGTATATGGAGAAAAATTTATAATATTTTTTAATGCATCTTGAACTTGAGTTGCTGTAGTTGAGTTTGCTTGAACCCATGAAGATAGCATTTGAAATGTAATGAATAGCATTTTATTTGCTTTTATTTGTGAGATTGGCAATGTATCAAATTGGCTTGATGAGTATGCAATACAATCTCTAATGGTTTGTATAAAATTCATTAGAATATATGCATAGTTATCACACCAACCGGTTTTAGAATCATCTTCTCCTTGACTCCAAGTCATACAGCAAAACTCTGCGTTATAATGTGATGAAATGTAATTGATTTTACGAGTTAAATTTTTAAAACCAGTTCCATACGGCATAAAATAATCATTACTGAAACTTTTAGCAGTTAGCATGCATGGAAGTATCATAAAACATTCATCAGGATTTATCATATTTAATGTATTCGCACCTTCAGCATCTTGCATTATAAGCCCAGCAAGTATTGAACCATATCCTGCCCAACAATTATTATCTGTTTCATTTACATCTAGTCTCAATGAACAAGGAAGTAACACATCATTTTGTCCATTACCCATCGCAAATTGGACTATTCGTCTGTTCATATAATTTACATTTGTTATTGATTGAGATAAACCCCATTCTCTACCAGCATATGTATTTGATTGACCAGCTATAATCAAAACTTTATATTTATGTTGATAAGGAATTAAGCGATCTACATAATTCTTTGTAGCTGTATCTTGTGCATTAGTAGGATCAGCTACATTAATCAATTTATGTGAATTCAAATTTATATTAGCACTCATACTATTAGTTCCATCTATTTTTAGATAGGAACTGCTAGAAATCTGATTATTATCTACATAATTCTTTGTAGCTGCATCCTGTGCATTAGTAGGATTAGCTACGTTGATCAATTTATGTGAATTCAAATTTATATTAGCACTCATACTATTAGTTCCATCTAATTTTAGACATGCACTACTAGAAGTTTGATTGTTATCTACATAATTTTTCGTAGCTGCATCTTGTGCATCTGTAGGATCAGCTACATTGATTAATTTATGTGAATTTAAATCAACATCAGTAGTGGCTGTATTGCCAACATTAATGTTGATATTTAATCCATCTGTTGTGTAACCATATAATGAATTACTACCAGCTATATTCATACTCATTTTTTATATACTATATTTTTTTAAATTCAATATAATGAGTTTTCAATACTTTGAAAATCAACACCTTCATCAAGCTTTTTTAATACATAAAGGCACAAGTGTCCGCAAAAAGAAGTGTCTCCAAACTGAATTCTTTTACTATTATAATAAACAGGACTGTGTAAATATTGAACAAGTTCAACTGGAGGTGGTAGTGCATAAGAGTCAAAACTTAATTTTTCTTCTCCATCTTTATACCAACAAACCCAATGAAATCCATTCGTACTTGAATCTCCAGTATTTAATATTCCACATTCTTTGTTTTGTGTATTTTTAGGTAATTCATCTCTTACAAATACACCTCATCAGATTCGTTATTTTTAATTTTTTTGCTGCTTTTATTAACTGAAAGTTTGTTAAGGGTACATTTGGCAATATAATTCCTTCAACATTGATATGTTTGTCCATTTTTATTACTTTATTAGATTTTTTTAGATCTCTTTAGATATAAAAAATAACTTACCTGTATGTTTGCCTGCCTGCTTGCCTGTTTATTTCCAATCAATTTGAAATGAAAAGTTAGGCTTGTCAATTCTATCACTTTCATTCCAATCAATCTGAAATGAAAAGTTGGGTTTGGGTTCCGAAGGAACCAATGTTTTACTCTCTTTTAATTTATGTCCATATGCTAATGTGTGAATACCATCTTCTTGAATTACTCTTTTATCATCTTCTGCACTCAATGCTACTTTGTTAATTTCTTCTGTATAAACATCATGTAAATGAGATCTTATGACATTCATTTTTCTCATCTGATTTCTCCTGCTAAGCAGGCAGTCTTTATAATCTTCATGTGTAATATAATTTTTTACTATATTTCTCTTTACTCCCTTACATCTCTTTTTATCTTCTTCATCTATTTTGTAAGAGTACAATTTTGATCTGAGTCCTATAAATTCTGTAATTTGTTTTCCTGCTGACTCATCTTTAAACATTCCTATTACTTTCTTATTTACACCTACTTTAAATCCATTTTGAACAGCTGGATGATCTTTATTAAATTCACTTGTATCAAATTTACTTTCAATATCATTTGCAATATCTGCATAAAAGTCTTTTGTTTTTATTTCATAGATTAATGAATCTGTATCTGTATATAATAGTTTAGCTTTATCACCATATTTATTTTTTATGTAATCATAATGAAATTCATACATTAAAGTCTTGCTCAAATCTAAAATACACATGCCTAAATAAATGGGTTTGTTATAAACTAGTTTTGTTCTTTTCATATGTATTGCAACTAAATTTTCATCAAATATTGTTCTACTTTCATAATTTGGTTTTGATGCTAATTTAATAGCTTCTTCTCTTTTTGTAACTAATCTCACATCAACTCTGTTTTCAATGTTCTCCATTGTCTTTCCAAATACTGAGTTATTCATAAGTTTGAAAAAGTCTTTTTCAAAACCATTTGTTGCTTTAGTCCTTAGATCTGTATTTAATTTAATGTATTTACTCAACCATGCACTTTCTTCAAACTTTATTCCTCTATGAATTTTTGTTATTTGCATTCCTAGTCTTTCATAGAGTTTCAAGTTTTCATAGTGAATGATATAATTTTTCTTATGATTTAAATTAGGTATTAATTTATCAACTTTGTCTATTTTTAATCTTTCAGGAGCTAGAGGATAATCATTATGAACATCATTTAAATGTTCAGGATATTCTAAATCTACTTCTAATATGCAAGAAGTTGATTTCCAATTTTTTAATTCTTCATCATTCATCCATTCAAACCCATGTGTAGGAAGGGGTTTGCTCATTGCCCATCCATATAAATTGTTAGCATCTAGATACTGTATGTAAGTAGATTCTTTACTTTCATCATAATTTTCCATATATTTATTGTTAGCAGTTCCTAACCTGTTGGAAACCATACTAATTCCACCTCTTATTCCTTCCTTTATCATTAAGATCATATCATAATCACTTAATAATTCTAATTTTACTTCTGTTATTTTTAACGCAGCATCCCAAGCTAATCCTGGTGCTGTATAGTACCAAGCAGGATCTAATTTGTAATTGTTAAAACAGACATCTCTAAAATTTTCAAAGACATCAGCTAGTAATAATACATCAGATTCGTTATATAAATTATGGTAATCTCTGAATGTTTCACAATTAAACTCTTTCCATACATTTTGAGCATGTAAATAATCTTCATCACTTATTCCTTCATCATTTAATCTTGAATAAAATGATTCTTTTGGTGGTAATTGTGTTTCATTTAATTTATCAATAGAGTCAACCCATTCATAAGGATAAACACCTTTTCTTAACAATAAATTGAGTTCATTTCCAGAATAGTATCTACTAATATTTTTACATTGATCTTTTGACAAATTTTTAGTTAAACTATCTAAACTAGCAGCCATAAATTTAAAACTATCTAGAAAACGTAGATACAGTTTAACTTCAACTTTTTTACCTTCTCTATTCATAAATTCATTTACTTTAAGTTCTTTAGAAAAGCTGATATTTTTTTCTTCATTGTTGGGTATACAATTTATTTTTCCTCCTTCTGACAATTTCTTTATGAACAAGTGAGAATCATAACCAGATAAATTGTGAAATAGTACTGGAATGAATTTTGGAATTTTAAATTGTAAATTACAATCACTATGTGCAGCGCCTCTATATTTTCCAGTAATATGACAATGATCTCGTGCTCTATCTTCATTAAGATCTTTTTCACAAATATGACATATTTTTGCATTATCAAAATTATTTTTGTCTTTCATAGTAAATATCATCTTTTTTGGAAATTTTAAATAATCGTTGTAAATCTTTTTTACATCCTCTTCAAGCATATTAACAAATTTTTGTGCTACATCTTCATCTTTATTACTTGCAGTGAATGTAACTAGTTTACTTTGATATACACTTTCATCAAAGCATTTAATATAGTAACAAAATGAACTAGGTGTATGCTTTTGGTACTGCTTTGTATAAGATTCATTTGGATTAGGTGTACAAGTGTTGATTGGTTTTA